CATGCAAAAAGCAAATTGCCTAGATATGTCTCAGTTGATAAAAAACAAAGTGAATATACCTCTTCACTTTTTGAAGTACACATAACACTCGGATTTAAATTCGAGGTTTTCGCATTTATTTTATCTTGTTTTTCACCTAGAATACGGTTTAACAACAAATGGACGAAAATGTCTTGATAAACTTCAATGCAAAAATTTCTCTGAAGTATTGAAATCAAATGTAAATGTTACAAATGAAAAACTGTCCGATGATTTAAAACAATTTTATATAAAAACTTTACCATTTGTTTCTAATTATTCATACAATGAGACAAATATGTTTGATGAATCATATGACAAACGAAAATTAAGTGAAATATTTTTGCAAATGAAATTTTTCAGTGTTGATAGTATTCAAGTGACATATCGATACAAACATATATCATTTGATCATGATTATGATTGTTATCTTGATGAAAGATATAAAAAAAATTTATTTATTAAACATACATCGTTATTCACACAGTATTGATACAATGATACAATTTGTTATTGACGATTCTGTTAAAGAATGTCATCAGAAACGAAGTAAACTGGATCAATATTATAAAAAGTTATTAGCAGCTTATTTAAGAAGCCAATTAGAAGAAAATATGATGAATGATAATGATCCGTCAAAACCAATATGGACAATAGATATCAACAGTGAAGAAAATGATGACAGTGAAGACAAAACTAATGTAGTACAAAATATCAATAATGATGACACAGACCAGGATATTTTCAATGATCCAGTACTAGCTGATAAAATACTTAAGGAAGAAAAACTTCTAATACCAAAATCGAAGTCAAATCAGAAAAAAACTTATCAACAGTCTGATATGAATACTTCGAATTCTGATATCAATATGGTTGATAAAACAAGCAAGTCAACAAAGGATAATAATAGAAGCAACGATGATCAATCCACAAGTAATGTGCGAAAAGAACATGATCGAACAGGTATTTTCTTTAGTCTATTAATCTTTCTTTTTCTTTTAATGTTTTGATTTAAAAGATCTTTAATATTTTCTATTCTACCTTTCCCCTATTTTCAATGATTTATTGATCAAATCAACCAGTAATCAGAACTTTGCTAAGAACAGTAATCCATCTATTACAAATATTTGAGTTAAAAGTATTTCTGCTCATTGAGATTTTCATGATGCTCTTTTCTTTCTTTTGACAATAGCTCAATAGTTTTAATGTTCACTTTTGTAGTTATGATCTTCCTCCACTATTTTAGATACTACCTTGAATTTCATGCTGAAGAAACAAAATATAGTCCAGTTTAAACATTTTGATCTCAAGAATCTAAAGATATCGGATGAGGATGATTTAGCAGAAAATTCTAACGAAGATATGGACGAAGAAAGTCTTATAAAAATTGGACGCACAGGAGAAAAATGGATACATAGATATTTCAAAGATTTGTATCATCTTAATGAAAATGTATTGATAAAATGGCTAAATGAAAATGGCGAAACAGGATTACCTTACGACATTGAAATTAATTTTATTGACAAATCTCAAGATATTTAACGAATTGAAGTAAAAACAACGTCAAAACATGTTGATAATTATCAGTTTTCAATATCAATACAAGAAGTTGAAGAGATATTACGATATCCTAACACCTATTACATATATCGAGTCAATTTGAATAATCGTTCATTAACAATTATAGATAATATTACACAGAATTTATCCGATAAACGACAACTGCAATTGAAAATGAATGTTTTAACATCGGATGATTTAAATGAGAAAAAATAACTTATTAACAGTTAGAGAGATCAATGATGTGCTATGAAGCGTAAAGGGAACTATTTAACTCTTATTAACGCTTTTATTTCAGCTTAAAAATTTTTCTATATAAATTATTCAGTCAGTCATGGAGACTTGTTTTTTTTCGATGCATGGAAAGAAATACTTAAGCATCAGTAGTATGTAAAAAGTATTTTGTTATAGTGAAAGACTTCAGATACATGAGAATGAGGGTAAATATGTCTAGTAACCGTTGTCGTGACGTTCATAACCTCTAAACGCATCATTGGATAGCTTCAGTAGTAAATTGGAGGTGAGTATGTACAATAGAATTTGTCAAGATTCTAAGCTGTTTACAATCATCATTTCCAACTTCGTTTAAAGTTTCATCATCAAGAAAAAATTAGGAGCGAATCTGGGTGTGGAGGTGTGAGTATTGTTTGAGAGCATATCGATCTTCACACCCACACTCCACCTTTAAATAAGAAATGAAATTTTTTTAAACAAATAAATTTATAAAATCTTATCAGAGTTTATTCACAAAAATCAATAAAATTCTCAGTTTAGTTATCATCTTTTTTTAAATATTAGTGGCGCTCGATTATGTGAATACTTCTTATTCAAGTTGATTTTCTTATTTTGAGTTGTACTTAAATGTGTCAAGGAAGAGTATAGAGTTATTATTTTTAATTTGTTATGGTGGCCGCCATGGCTAATTAGCTACATTGTCTGACATGTATTCACAAGGTACTGTAATCAAACATCAGTATCACCTGCTATGAAGTAATCCTGAACCAGTCACTAGCGACTGTTTATCATGAATCATCTGTACGACACCATGTTGACTACATTTGTGCAATACATCTGCTCTTGTCCATAGCAACAGCTAGTATTACTTATAAGGAAGAGATCGGACTATTGAAGCTGCCGCTAGGCAACATCCCATACTGTAAGATAATCGAAAGGTATGAGCATTCTTCGTTCTTCTTTATCTGTTATAATTGTATGCTTCAAGCTCACTTTAATATGGATGATAAAATCGTAGCTATTGAGGAAGACTTTTAAATTTAAATCATAAATATTACTTTTGTAAAGTTTTCCATGATATGTTAGTTTAACTTTGAAATGGTTGTCTTGGTACAGCATTAATATACGAGTACCCCGAATGAATATTTCTATAGAGTCTTTGTGTATTCGATTATTTTATGCAAAAAAATTCTCGGTCTGTATTGTATTCAGGACTGTTGTGCTGCGATTACTTCATTTTAATATAAAATAATAATTCAAAAGCATAGATCAATTTAATAGAAATTTAAGAAAAATACTAATGTGTGAACCGAGTTGTTAATATATCATCATATTTTTTCAGAATAAAGATTATGGTAGAAAGTTGTTATCATTAGAAAATAAAATAAAATAAGAATAAATAACAATATATCTTGAGAATAGTATCATGGTAACGAAACGAGAATAATCATAAATTATGCACTGAACCTTAGGGTGATGGTGGATATGGATGTGAGTTGAGTTTAAATTCATACCTACCCATCCTACGAGAATAATTTGCATCTCTCTCTCTCCCTCGGTTGGTCTTGTCGTTCAGAGATGTGTGTGTATGTGTTAGTCATTGAGAATAAAGTTGCGAATAAGAGACAATAAAGTCTTTCGCAAGCCATTTCAAATAGAGCGATGTTTTTTTTATAGAAAAGAACATATAACATCACACCAATGTGTCTTATCAAGTCTTTATCTAACATAAAGATAGTCACAGAGAGAAATAACATAGACGATAATCAAAATTAATCTTGCCAACATTTTATTGTTTGTTAATACTGTGTACGCAGTTAACAAACGAAAACAACGGTAGGGAATGATAAGGATAGCTAAAAGAGAGAAGAAGAAGAAGACGTAAGCAAACTGTTTATTGATCTATATAGTACCCTCCTTTTCTTTTCTCTACGCCTAAATTGACCCATTGAATGACAACGCTCATATACAGTCTGGCCTTGATACCAGTGAATTTCTGCATTGTCGAAAATGGATATTGAATTTCATTGATGAATTGATTTTATTCACCTAGGTTTACATAGTGCCGTACCATCGATATATTTGGCTCTTTTCACGGCGAACGAACAAGAAGATGATGCTTGTAGAAAGACTTATATCGATGTTGATATGTTAAAACACCAGACGAATAAGAGTAATTTTTTAAACATTCGTTGTGAACGGATTTTTCAATAACTCAACTTGAAACAATGGGTAATGTTGATCATGCCCTTCAGAGTAAGTTTATTAGTAAATTCAATATCTATCACCTAGTACAGAAGAAATGTCAAATTGATTTGTTCCGTTACTGAGTTCTAGACAAACATTTGAAAGAAATTTATATCCATCATAGAACACGTTTGTACCGAAAATTTGTTTAAAATCTCATCTGGTGTTTTTTTTGTTAATGATAGAGAAAAACAAATCTGTTCTTGCTGCAATTCAAAGTCATTATTCAGCAATAGATTATCTATGAACTCGGATACATTCAATCACTTTTTAGTTGGGAATCAGATCGAAAATAGTTTGAGTACAATGGCTGTGGGTATCCTTGTGAGTGTTATTTTTTCTTCAGGGCACCCACATCCACACTTGCCACCATATTTTTCTACAATTTTGAAAATGGTTGTAGATGTGGGTGTCACTGTTCAACTTAACCACACTCACAACCTCTAAAATCTATGTATTTATTTCTATTTCAGACAAATTTAATTAAAGGTTCCTATGGGCGAACATATTGCATTGGTACAAAATGCTTCACGATCATGTAGAATATGTTTTGATAATGATAATCCGAATGACCTTATTAGCCCATGTTTATGCAAAGGAGGATCAGTATATGTTCATAGAAAATGTTTAGATAATTGGTGATCATTAAACAAAAATGGTAGAGCTTTTAAATTTTGTGATGTTTGTCAATTTGAGTATGTTATTGAACCAGTGGTAGACGATTCATCAGCTGACGAAAAAAGATTACTAATATTTCGCTTATTGGTTGCTCGTGACATAATATTGATTATTTTATTAGTTCAATCAATCATCATTGGGATCACATTTTTCTTAGAGGTTGTAGATAAAAAAAATAATAAAATTAAAAATTTATATCCAGATTCTATGAGCTCATTTGGTATTTATTACCTGAGCAGTCTAATATTATTCTTGGCTTTCTTAGACTTGTTTGGTTTAATTGGTTTTTGTTGTGGATGGATGCAAGATAATAATTATGAATCTACTGATAATGATACTTGTTCTCATTGTGTTTGTTATCCGTATAGTTGTATATGCCTGGATGGTAATGGTTGCGATGGAAATCATAATTGTGATGGAAACACTGGTATAATACTGATAGTTTGTATACTAATATTTGCTATTATTGGGATATTTGTTGGGGTAATCCTAGCTGGAATAATTGTAAGAAAAGTAATGAAACGCCATACTAACAATTATGGTTACGACAAGAAGCTAAAAAGTATGTTGTCAAAGATTTTCAAGGAAAAATGAATGAACTAAAGAACATGTCATTTCAACATCGTGTTACATAGTGATCAATACACATTGAGATGGACGAATGATAGAACTCAGATAAAGTCGTTAACCCCATTTCAATTATTATATGTAATTATGTTCAATACACAATAACCTACTATAGTAACAATTATGATGAGTTTCGAATCTAGGTATCTAAAGCAAAGTCTAAATTATTATGATTATAAAAATAATTTTGTGTTCAATATGTGTATGTCTGATTTTTAGTGCTTCTTTATTGAACTAATTAAATAAAAGTCTTGCTTATTTACAGCTTTTAGCATCCCTAAGCACTATTTTGATATCTCCATATCATGTCTTAATTCTCTTGATTGTGTGTGTATGAATCACTGAGATGTAAATACCAACGTGATGACGACAAGGAAAGTGTTGTCACAAGAGATATAGCAACATCAATTTACTAAAAAATGGAAAGTTTTTCTCTAACATATATAATGAAAATCGTACCGATTCCTCACTTGTACTAAAACCTTTTGTAATAAATGTTCAATTTCCACACTTACTCTTGTAAATGGCTTTTCAATAAGCAAAGTATCATGCCGAACAACTTGAAAAACAGAATGGAAAAGCCAGAAAATAGTTTATATAACAATGAAATATTAAAATTGAAGGTTTGAAACGCTTTAGAAGATGACAAAATGTGTTTTTTTTAAAGGAGCCTACAATTA